CCAAAGGTCCTAAGACTGAGCTCTGGGGTACCCCACTTGTGACATTAATCCAACTTGACTGAACTCCATTTGTAACAACCCTCTGCTTTCTTTCATCCAGCCACTCTTCTTTCCAATTTGCTAACTTTTTTCCCACATCTACAGAGATAATTTTTTTACAAGCCCTTTATGTGGCACCTTATCAAAAGATTTCTGAAAATCCAGATACACCAAATGAAGATGTTCAATTTTTATGTAGAGTTTGTTAGTTGGAGACAATCATAATTAAAGTAGAAGTAATAGATAAAGAGAAGTGTAGACTGCAGAAAATGTCTGCAAGATTTCGGGAGGAGCTTAAGGTTTTACATGCAAGGGATACATCAGCTAAAAATGACTTTCAGGAAGCTACAAAGAATATTATTAAAGTAAATAGTAGTGAATTTTGTTATAATGAGCCTATTCTGTTGAGCAACAAATTTCAGCCCTTAGTTTCTGCAGATGAGGAACTATTGGAGGAAAGGAAAACAAAAGGATGTGGATGATAAGGACGTTATAGTTATAGGTGATTCCTTTACAAGGCATGTAGATAGAATAGTCTGTGGGTTAAATAGGGAGAAAAGAATCAGATTATGCTACCCAAGGGCACAGGTGGAAAATATAGTTGACAGAGCAGGAGATATAATAAAGGGGGCTAGCAGAGATGCAGTTTTTGTGGTGCATATATGGGTTAATGATGTAGGGAAAGGTAGGTCATAGTAGCCAATTAATAAGTACAAGGGGTTGATAAAGGCATTTAAAGAAAAAGGCCATAACTTAATTTTGTCAGGGATACTGCCAGAATTAACTGTGGGGTTGAGTTATAAGTAGGTCAATAGGGCTAAATGCTAGGCTTTGGTTAGTAAGTAAGGATGGGTAGATTGGCTGGTTGGATTTGTGGGATCATTTCAGTGAAAGAAGTGAGCTTTTTGGAATGGATGGTTTGCATTAAATAGGGTAGGGTTAGCTTGTTTGCTGAGGCTATTAACTCAGCTGTAAGATAAATTTTAAACTAGGGCTAGGAAGAATTAAATCCAAAAAGTATGAGAGACAAAGAAAAGTTTAGCATATGAAAATTAGTATAGAAGTAGTTATAGGGATAGGCTTAATTGTTACTATTGTAATGCTAGAAGTATGAGAAATAAAACAGACTACTTTAGAGCACTGGTAGGAATGAAGGATTTTGATATAATTGGAATAACTGAAACATGGTTAAACGTAGATGAATTTGATGACAGAAATTTCTTTGAAATACAGGGTTTCAGGCTATTTAATTATGAAAGAGTATTAAAGAGGGGGAAGGAGTGGCTTTATATTTAAATTTTAGTTACATCCTGTTGAAGTTGAAGATATCAAAGATAATAGCAAGGAGATTGAATACATTAGGGTTTCTGTTTGTGGATATAAAGGGAAAATGCTTTTAGTGGGGATTTGTTACAGACCACCAGACGATACTGATGAAATTAGTAAGAAACTTTATAGTGAGATTAAGATTTCATCTGTTAATGAAGTCATAATTATAGGCGATATTAATTTCAGGCATATAGAGTCAAACCATGAGGGAGAAAGGTTTTGGAAACTGTTCAGGATGGCTTTC